AGAATATAAAGCAAGCATGTCTAAAAGATTCATTTAAGAAATTTATAAGCTGGCAAGATAGTAAGGCTGGCTCAGAGAGAATTAGAGACAGTATTTGTGGTGTCTGTAAGAAAACTACTAGAATAATATCACTTCGATATAAATCTGGTCCCTGTATAGAGCAATAAGCTGAAGCTTTTAGGGTTGTTGTCTCTACCAGAAAAATGATTTGCATCTCTGCCGGCCATATTAATTTTGCTTATCAGCTGTTTTCAAGTGGGGAGTGGTTTTGTCCCTAGGGGGCATTGGTAATGGGAAACTTGTTGAAGTTACAACTTTGGGTGGGGGTGCAAAAGAAGACAACCATGTAAGTACTCTGCAGTGTGTACCACACCACCCACAGAAGACTTCTCTTGACTCAAATGCCAGCAGGGTTGAGGAGAGGAAGCCTGGTGGTGTTTGTACAGGTTAACATCTGCACTTACAAGATCTAAACGGTTCTACTCAGGAGAGAACTGGATAATCTTTGGTTGAGTCAGCTAACCCTGAAGGGGCAGGAAAACCCCACGTTTTCCTGTTTCCAGGCTTTAGAGGACAGTTCTTCACTCCTACCCTTCCTTTGTTTGGTGTTTTTGAGGCATAGAGGGTATCACTGGGTAATCCAGGCTTGCCTGGAACTGGCAGTTGTGCATCAGCCTTCTAAATGCTGGCATTCCAGGCACTGCCAACCGTCAAAACAGAGTTTTGTTTGGTTGGTTTTTATTTTTATTTTTTTGTTGTTGAATTTTTGTTTTCTCAGACTGACCTCAAACTCAGAATGTAGCTGAGACTGGCCTTGAACTCCTGACCCTTCTGACCCCACCCTGACCTTCTGTGTGCCATCACATTCGGCAGCACATTTTCTTATTAGCATTTGACACTGTGTGTCGTCGATACGGTTAACGCTCAGTAAAGGTTATTATTGTAAACTTTCAGGTTCTATGTGGGTGTCTATATGCTTGTGTGATAAACAAAACCCTCAGCAGCCTTGGACTCTTTAAAGAACACTGTGACAGCATCACTGTTGGAAATGATTTTCCTGTCAGGTGACTTCTTCTTCATGGTCACTTTGAAGTGTTAAGAAAATCCATATAATCTTCAAACTAATCTACGGTAGGTTGTATTTTAAAAGGCAAGTCACATTTTAAAAAGTAACTTGAAGTACCAGACTCAAAAAACCCAGCCTCTCTTTTTTTTTCCCCCAAGGGACTATACTGTCAAATGGAGAGCATCCAAGATGTAGAGAGAAAACCCACTAGATACCTGATGTGAAAAAGTTAGGGCAGTGCAAAATCACAGAGTTGCAGTTTGTGGCACATTAATTGACTGGCTTATTGATTGATGGGGCTGGGGACTGTGTGTCTAGGCGAGTTCTCTGTCACTGAACTATATCTAGGCTCCATCTGGAGCACTTCTGATTGGCTAACTCATTTTTTTTTCCTTATGGGCAAATGGTGTATGCATAACATCTCAGAAACAAGAAACGGAAAATGAAAAGAAATACAGGAAATGAAGATGCACAGTTTTCCAAATTCATCTTCTATAATTAGTTGAACAGCATGCTCAATAGTTGTATTAGTTCTGAGTACATCTGGCAGGAAAGCCACATAATAATGAAAACTAGAAGCTAATATATAAAAAATTGAATGCATTACTTATATAAAATCAGTAATTATTTTAAATCTAACAATTGTGTTAATATAAATATAATAGTATATAAAATATATAAATGAATGAAATGTTTGAAATAGATCCATATGTTTAAAGGAGGTACAATGTGAAACAATAGGATATACACATACTTTCATAAACACGAGTGATATTTATTACATAAACAAAAATAATAAAAAATTGGGCCTAGTAAGAAGTACAAAGAACTAAGAAGAGGAACTTCCCCATCCTGTGGGGCTGAGAAGACACCCAAGGAGCCTTCTCTGACCTCCTCCTTCTGCACCAAGGTTGGCTAGACCTCAGGAGAGGGCACCGCCAGAACCCACTAAATGACAGAGGTCATGCTGGCACATTTTCGGGAGGTTCGCTCTTTAGAATTTTGAGGGACTCCATCCTCTCTAGTTGTACTCCACCACAGCTGCTGGCTCTAGGGGCTGATGCCTTCCCTGGACCTATGATCTGGATGCAGGGGGAAGCCATGTTTGCTGCAGGCTCCTGGCTGGCAATCCCCCTGCTGTTTCTCCAGTGGCAGCGATGATGGGGATGATTGGCGGCTGTTCGTAGTCACACTCTGTCAGTGTGAGCACTGCAGTGTGTGCAGCTGCTATCTGCTGACTACAGGAGTAACTGAAGAGGTGCCCCCTTGGTCACCAATGCCACCATCACCTAAAATGTCATCGCTAAGACCCTACTACAATCTACTGAATCAGAAGTTTGAGGTGGGGACTGGTCGTCTACATTCTTAGCAAATGATTCTCAGATACACTAAAGGGTAGGGACTAGTAAAGTTTCAGAAATGTGCATGAGTGGGTGCGACAGAAAGACACACACACACACACACACACACACACACACACACACACACA